GAGCCACACCTGCAGGCCTAAAATGGTAATTTTTATGTTATGTACATTTTACCATAATACAAAAAAGAACTGATTATAATGACTAAACATCAAAGAAATTTTTAATTTTAAACTACATATTCTACCCCTCTCCCAACCAACTGAAGTAACAAGATTATAAATGTAAATTAAATAAGCACCTGGAGAGATGGACAGGAACTCAATCACATGACAAACTCAAGACAATGCCTAATAAGGGAACACCTTACACAATACGAAATTGGTTTTTAGGCTGAGCCAAAATTTCATCAATTGTCCTAAAGTGAACATGAACCAAATATGACCTGAAGCTGGTTATTTTATAAATGAACCCTATACTGTTAAATTTTTGACATATATAATGCCTTATGAAATGCGAACTTTTAATTTGGGCTTGCTACCATTCCAGTCTGTGGGAAAAAAACCTTTTATTAGCTGGACGTGGTAGCGCATACCTGTAATGCTAGCTGTTTAGGAGCTAGTTGGCCTCAAAGTTTGAGGCCAGTCTAAGCTAAAGTTAGTGAGACCCTATTTCACAAACAAGCCAGGTATGGTGGTAAACTTCTGTAGTCCCAGCTACTCAGGAGGTGGAAGTGGATCACAGTCTAAGACTGTCCTAGGAAAAAGCTTGAAAAAAACAAAAGGACTGGTGCGTGGCTCAAGTGATAGAGCATCTCAAGGCCCCGAGTTCAATCCCCAGTTCTGTCAAAAACACTTTTTATTATATAAGTAATAAATATTCATAATACAGAAATTACAAAAACAGTGGTAATGTATTTAAAAATAAAATTAATCTTATAAAAGTTATTTTTTTAGCCTGGTACCAGTGGCTTACACCTGTAATTCTAGCTACGGAGAGTTGCAAGAGGATTGCAACTCAAAGTCAGCCCAGGCAAATAGTTTGCAAGACCCTATTCTGAAAATACCCAATACAAAATAAAAGGGCTGGCAGAGTAACTCAAGTGGTAGAGTACCTGCCTAGCAGATGTGAGGCCTGAGTTCAAATCCCAGTAGCACCAAAGAAGTTGTTTTTTAAAATGGGCTACTTTACTAATAGGTTTGTGATCTGGGAGGCTTTTCCACCTTCTTCCTCTTATTCTTTTAAAATTTATTCTAACTAAAACTTTACTTCCTTTTACTAAAACTCCCCCAGCCACTGGCAACCATCATTCTATTCTCTGCTTCAATGAGTTCAACCTCTTCAGATTCCACATGTGAGTGAGATCATGCAGTATTTATCTTGCTGGGGCTGGTGAGTGGCTCAGGTGATAAAGTGCCTAGTAAATGCAAGGCAGTGAGTTCAATTCCCAGCACCACTAAATTAAATAAATAAATAAATAAAAAATTTAGGCTGGAGGGCTTGGTTCAAATGGTGGAGCAGCTGCCTAGCAAGCATGAAGTGCTTCAAACCCCAGTTCTCCGGCCCCCAAAAATGTATTTGTCTTTCTGTGCTTGTTTTATTTCAGATAACATAATGTTCTTCAGGTTAATTCAGTTTGTTGCGAATGAGAGCATTTCTATCCTTTTAAAGTCTGAATAGCATTCCATATGCATCATATTTTCTTTGTCCATCTGTCTGTTAATGGACATTCAGGGTTATTCTATTGGTTAGGTATTGTAAACAATGCTGTAATGAACAGAACAGTGCAGCTATCCCTGACATACTGGCCTAACTTCTTTTAAATATATCCAGAGTTACAACTGCTGGATCGTATGGTATTACTATTTTCAATTTTTAGTGACCACCACACCGTTATCACAGTGTCTTTACCATTTCACATTCCCTGCAATGGAGTGAGAGTTCCCTTTGCTCTATGTTTTCACCAACTCTTGTTAGCTGTATCAGCTTCGACATCTTTCATTAATGTGCTATAGTTTTCACTGTACACATCTTTAACTTCCTTGGTTAAATTTATTTTTAATGCAATTACAAATTGTACTTTCTTGATTTCCTTTTCAAACAGCTCATTGTTGTATACAGAAATGCTACTAAGTTTTGTATATTGATTTTGTATCCTAAAACTTTACTGAATTCATTTATTCATGCTAACAGTTTTTTGGGTATTTTTGTGTTTTTGTTGAGTTTTTAGTGTTTTCCAAATATAAGATCATGTCATCTGCAAATAGAGATAATTTTATCAACTTCCTTTATGACTGGGATACCTTTTCTTTCTTTTCCTTGCTTAATTGCTCTGGCTAGTACCTCCAGTACTACATGAAACAGAAGCATCCCTTGGTAAAACCCCAATCCCAACAGCTTCAGTTCAGCTGGCCCATATGCAACTGCCCACCTCAGACTTTGAGGTTTACCTTCACTTCACTAATAAATCATTTTTTGCTATATTAAAAAAATGGCATCCTTGTCTTGTTCCTGATGTTAGAGGAAATGTTCTAAGTTTTTCCCTATCCAGTGTGATGTTAGCTGTGGTCTTGTCATATGTGATCATTCTGTTAATGTGGTGTATTGTGTTCGTTGATTTGTGCATGCTGAACCACCCTTGTATTCATGGCACAAATCCCACTTGGTCATGGCGTATGTTCCTTTATGTTAGATCAAATTTGCTAGTATTTTGTTGATAATTTTATACCTATATCATAAAGAATACTGGCTTATTATAATGTTATTTTCCTGTAATGTCTTTATCTGGATTTGATATCATGGTAATGTTGATCTCAGACAACAAGTGCCTTAGCAGATACATGATTTACAAATAGTCTTTCCTATTTTGCAGGTTTTTTTCATTTTCTTCCTTTTTTTGGCAGGGATGGGGGAGGGCAGGGAAATTGGAGTTTGAATTAAGAGCTTTGTGCTTGCTATGCAGGTGCTCTACCACTTCAGCCACACCTTCAGCCCTTTGGTGCTTTAGTTATTTTTTGGATAGGGTCTTATGTTTTTTTATCCTGGGTTGGCTTCAGACTGAAATCCTCCTATCTACCTATATCTCCCGTGGAACTAGGACTACAGATATGTTCCACTGTTCCCAGATTATTTATTGAGATGGGGGTCTCGCTAACTTTTTGCTCAGATTAGTCTCAAACTGAGATCTTCCTGATCTCTGCCTCCTGAGTAGCTGGAATTAACAGTTATGAGCCACTGTGCCTGACATCTTCACTTTCTTGATCATGTCCTTTGAGGCATAAAAGTTACTAATTTTGACGAAGTTTGGTTTATGTATCTTATCTTTTGTTGCTCATACACTCGTGTCATAGCTAAGATCCTTTGCCAAATCCGAAGCTGTGATTTTTTTTTTCTAACTCTTATAATAAAATTTTCCTCTATAAGTGTTACACTAGTCTGTTTTCCATTGCTATCATAAAATGGCTAAGAGTGAGTATTTTATAAAGAAAAGAGGTTTATTTGGCAAACAATTTTGGAGGCAGGAAGTGGTGAGAGCACCCTGGCCACATCACATCATGGTGGATGACTCACAGCAGGATTACATATGGGAGGGAGAGGTCAAAACGCAAGATTGGAAGGTAGAGCCATAGCTAGCTGAACAAACTGAGGATTCCACTAGAATTATGTTAATCAATTCTGAGGGCAGTGTCCACGATGACCTAAATACCTCCCACTAGGCCCTACCTCAAAAGTTCCATACTACCTTCCAACTCTGCCATTTTGAAGACCAAGCTTCTAACACATGAACCCTTAAGGAACAAAGCACAATGAAACCATAGCAAGCATTACAGTGTTAGCTTTTACTTTTAAATCTTTGACCCATTTTGAATTAATGTGTTATGGGTCCAATTTCACTCTTTTGATGTGCCTACCTAGGTGTGTCAGCAGCATTTATTGAGATCTTTCCCCACTGAGTGGTCTTGGCAACCTTGTCAAAAATCAATTGACTATAGACATAGGAATTGTCCTTTCTGAATCTTGACTCTGTTGTATAGCACTTTAGCTAATCTCCCAAATTTAATAAGCATGCTTTTCTTTTTTTAGGTGCGACTGGGGTTTGAACTCAGGGCTTCATGCTTGCAAAGCAGCTGCTTTACCGCTTGAGCCACACCTCCAGTTCATTTTGCTCTAGCTATTTTGGAGATGGGGTCTTATGAACTATTTGTCTGGGCTGGCCTCAAATCACAATCCTCCTGATCTTAGCCTCCCAAGTAGCTAGGATTACAGATGTGAGCCACCCACCAGAGCACAGAATAAGCATGCTTCTTATGTTTTCTTTATCCTAGTTGCTATTAAAAATGAACAGAACATGCTCGCAGTCAGAGTCCTACAGCAATGCAAAGTGTCCTTCTATTTGGTTTATATTAAAACTTCAGTCAGTACTAAACCAGTTATGAACTTACTTAAATTTGCTATCATTTAGTCATCATTCCTCACGATGTCTACAAGTATTGGTATGCAGTAGCACTTCATAAAATACCTTCTGAAATCAAGCTAATGCTATCCTAATAAGAGGCTATCAATGCAGAGGTTAAAATTACAAGTTAATCACTACTTTTCCCCATGTTCACAATCTGTTTAACAATCCTTTCTATAGTTTTTACAGGAAACACACTGATTCGTAACTTGGGGGACTGAAGATCCACAGAATTCAAATCCAAGGCCTTTAAATATTATTCCTGATAGCATAACAATCAATTGAGCCTAATTAATTAAAATTAATTCTAATCTTAATTTCTTTTACGCTGTGCACATCTTTTTTTGGCTCAGCTTTTTCAGTTAAAAACTGAAAACATTTTGCACTTCACATACTAGTTGACAGACTCAATTATGAAAATTAATTTTTAACTATGATACTCTGACAGGAAAGATTAACATTATAGTCAAAATATGGATGATGATTTTAAATGTTTTTTTATAGGACAGAAAAATAAAAGTTAGCATTCAGAGTTCAATGGAGAATAAAATACTTCAGTAAATATATATGATTCCTGAAATCAGCTATTTGTTTTTCATAGTAAGTACTATGTATTACTAGGAGTCAAAGAGTCAGTGTCTGAATTCATTTGTACTTGAGTCTCACCTGAAAAGTGCATATACCAGGGTAGCAATCAAAGTGAAACTGACCACAACTGCCACAAGTACTTGGTCACTTACTCCTTCTATAACTGAATCATCATCCAGCTTCAAACTTTGAACTTCACCTTGATATTTTGCCATTCCAGTCTAAAATATGAAGAAGAAAAAAACAAAAGTTACAAATGACACAGTGAAAATGAAATATACAAATAAAAGCAATCTAAGAACAGCTGACTTCTAATGTATTTCATATTGACAGCGTGTGCCTAACGTAGGCTGCCTTAGCATAATTCCAGTGAAGACTCCCTCATTAATGGGTTCTTTAAAAATATGCTAAAAATATTACAGAGTACAAAATGTTATTTCCTTTAAGGAAAACAAAAACTGTATTTTATCATCTATTTATATTTTTAATACAAAACTTTAAAAAATATCCTTTCTTCTTCCGGCTTAGGCTCCATTAAGGGAAAAGACACTGTTTTTGACCAACTGCTCCTTTCTAACTCCTGAAAACCAAATGAAGTCTCCAAGAAGAGCATATTCTCATTCTCCTTCACGGCACTGAATTTACCACCTATGGATGGGAAAGAAAATATACTGCAGTCTTCTGTAAATATACCTGTATTATTTAATATATGCTCTGTCCACAGGAGGACCTAATAAACACTTCTCTAAATAAAAGTGACTTACTGTACTATAATGTTTGTTAGTAATTTGAAAAGTAAAAGATATTTAGGCTGAAGCACATTTACATCTAGACTAAGACTACTTGAATTCATAAAAATTTTGGTGCTTGAAAAACTATGAGCCTCACCTGAATCTAAGGTCAGTTTATAGCTCAGAATTCTTTGAACTGCCTGGAATATGGGATCACTGTGAGGCTGCATTTCCTTAAGAAGTGAAGAGGAAGGATATGTAACTTCCTTCTTATATTCTAAACTAGAGAAAAATGGTAGCACCCAATTGTACAGCCCAACCACATCGGAGTCCAAAGATCATAGGTAATTCATATTTTTTCAGATGGCAAAACTGTAAAGTTCAAAGTCTTACAAGATACCTAAAGGGAAATAAAGGAAATAAATATTCAATTAAATAGATCTGATATTATAATTAAAATTAAGTTCTACATTTATGTAACTTATTGTGTTGAAAAGTTTATCCAAAATCATCGTTAACTAGGTAAGTGTCTGTTAAGAGGACATTCTTAATGTGAAAGACTAACACTGCTGAAATGAATCTGGATTAGCTAGTAAGAAAATTACCTACTGCACATGGAAGGGTTAAGCAAATAAATAGATCAAAGGCAGGTTTTCTCAGCTTGACACACAGTAATAGCCTGATAGATCAGGAACTTAAATAACAGGTTTCAAAGGCATTACGCAGGTGCACACAAGTAAACCCAGAGCTCTACTTTTAGTATCTTCATTCAAAAGAACAGTTAAACTACAAGCTAAAACTGGAAAAAAAAAAGCCTCAAATAATCTAAAGTCAGGCCAAGTAGTGAGCTGAGATTTTAATTTTATGAGGCTTCCTATTTTTTAAATTAGAAATGTTGTGGCTGTGAGAACTACTTGTATCTGCTCACAGATAATCGAAATGGTATCCCTGCCAGGATTCCCAGCCTCTAATTACTGATTCTAATTACTCCAGTTTTGGGGACTAAATCAAATTAACTAAGGAGAAAGTGCTTTGCAAGTTAAGTGCATCAAGAGAGGCATTATAATTATTACTCATATTTTCTCCTGTGCTATACATTTAGACAGTTACCATACACATTTTATATACATACTACCCATAATTTGATGTCTATGCAATTATACCCTTAAGAAATTGCTTTCTGTACACTTTTGAGAGCTCAGTGACCCAGGATACATAAGCATTGCATACCCATACGTTATTTGCATTATTTTACAGCAGAAGTGTTCAATGTTGTTGAGAGAAAGAGGTCAGCTGCATTTTCCTGCCATGTGGAAATCTCAATTAAGCCTGGAGCTGCCACATGGAGATCTACTAATGGTGTCTTATGCACTTGTTGGGGGCTTCAATAGCACTTGTCATAGTTTTTATAATCCAAGTAAAAAGGGGAACTGGGATTAGGGGCTCAAAAATAAGGTACTATAAGGCACCTTGTCTTGAAAAGATAGTTTAATTTGAGATTACAGGGGATAAACAATGAAACAAATCATAATTTTCTACTTGAGAAGATGACATACACTTCAAACTTTTGTTTTTCAGACAGGGTCTCACTATGTAGCCGAGGCTGGCCTCAAACTTTTGATCCTCTTGCCTCAGCCCCTCAAGTGCTGGAATTATAGACATGTACCACCATGCCTGATTATAACAGCTCAATCTTAAAGATGAATTCCAAAATTAACCTGACTGTAGTTCTCCAATTTCTGGTTTTTTTGGAGTCAGTGCTTGTCTAGAATGAAATAGTGTTGCTGATTTTGTCTGATAGCACAGGTTCTTAACTGCAGCCCTAAGAGTTACTGCTTGGATATTAAGAACCTGGATTTTAGTTCCAGTTTTGCTACTACAGCTATGATCCTACGGTCTCTCAGGATCTCTTGTTTCCTGCAAATTGTTAAAGTTGGGCTTGATGACTTTTTTGGTTCCTTTCACCATGACATTTCCCTGATTCAGAGTTTTCAAATAGAAAAAAAGATAAAAACAAAAGGTTAAAGTAGTTAAGCAGGGTATAGGACAAGAGAGCCAGACTATCATTTCCCCCAGGACATAGTTCTTCGTGTGAATTCTTCTCTAGTACCTATTACTTAATAAAAGTAATGCTAGTATTTGCCCCCTTTATTGAGATGCAGGCTAGGCTTCAGTGCCCCTTCTTACCCACCACTTTGTCACTCAGTTTCCTGAGGGTGCCTTCCAGGAGCTCAGTATGGGCAAATGGAGGTACCCATTTGGACTGCAAGGCATACCACTGAGCAGTTCTCTCACTATGCCATAGACTTTTTCCAATCAGGAAACACATCTTATTCCCTTGATCTTACATGTGATAAGGAGGAAGCCCTCCTCCTTACTGTACACTTGAAACCCCAAAACAAGGTCATTAAATGTACAGAACATGGTATTTAATCTATTTCATGAGATCCTGTCAAATATGAAAATAAAGTTATTAGCACCCTGTTTTTAACTGTTGGAGATTTACAAAAACAAAACACGACAGATCTTGGAAAGCATGTAGTGGAACTGACAGAAGTCTAAAGAATAACTGATTTTGTTACTGCTTAGCTGGCTGACTTACTGAAGAGTAGTGTAATACAGCAAAGATGTACACATTTTGGAGTCAGCCAACATTTACTTATGTAAAGTCTGAGTCTCAGCCTCCTCATATGTAAAATGAGCAAAATTAGGTTGAACCACATCAAGCTGCCACTTCTTTTTGGAAAAAAGAAAAAAAGTCTTACTTTGTGGAATTTATATCATGAAGGTAAAACATTTAACATATTGTATGGAATGATGTATAGGTTCTGTGTAAAAGGAAGCTATAACATTTTGATTACTATTATTAACAACTATCAAGGAAATAGCAGAACTATGAAAAAACTTGATCATGCCTTTTAAGTAGTGCAACAGCTGCACTATTTAATCTCAAACTCTCTTTAATCAAAGCTCTCAGTATGTGTTCCCTGGGAAAATTGGATAAATTTGGGAACACTGTCATATAGGACCCCACAGTATTCCCCTGAATCTGATAAACAGCTATAGATGAGAACTAGCCCCCAGTTAACCAGAGTTAGGGAGTAAGCAGACAGCTAAGACAGGTTCACCTCACCTCTCCTGGTCTTTTCCTTAAGCTTTCAGGGACGGGAAGAGACACGCAAACACACACACGCACATACAAATAATGGGAAAACAGAAACTTCTAGGACTTCCTGGAATAGAGAAACTCAAGTGTTTTGTTACACGAGATCATGTAGAAATCTGATAACCATATGGTTTCTGCAATTTCTCACATTCAAGAAGCTTTTACTTTAACTTCCTTCATTGAGGCTAACTTGAGCTACAAAATAAACCTCAAGAACACTACATCATGCACAAAAGCATTGTGGATCCACAGTCAAGCCTAAAAAAAGAGGCTTTGCGGCAACTGTATCTTAGCCTCCCACAGTTCCTCCAGCAAGAGATAATATCTGTGGTCTCCCCAGTCAAAGACAAACACTGCCAATCAGGCTTAAGTCAATTTAGCATGTATTTACTATTTACTTGCTTAACAGGGGTAGATTAAAGCGACAGGGATTCTACAGAAACAACTTAGTGTGGAATGCAGGAACTATGGTTTGACAGAGATCCAGACACATCAACAGAGGAATCAAAGACAGAAGAGATTTATATTCACAATTTCTAAAGGCTTTTCTATTCTTGGTGTAAGAAGAAAGTCGCAAGAAAGACCACTCAGAAGACTTCAAGTAAAATGTTTTACATTCACAAAACAACCAAATCATGCATGTGCTGTTAACTGGTACTCTGAAGCATCATTAAAAAGTCAGTGTTGTCTTGGTAGTTCTCAGGGCTCAATGAAAAAAAATCTATTTTTTTTCCCTGTTGTTTTTTGCAGTGCTGGGGTTGGAACCTAGGCCATGAATATGCTAGAGAAACGCTCTACCACTGAACTACATCCCCAGTCCTAAGAAAACCTACTCTTAACAGGAGATGTGATCCAGGCTTCACTGCAAAACCCAGTGAAGATGTGTTCTGGGAAGTTATCTTTGCAGCACTCCAAAGCAACTTTGCCCTTATCTGCATACCCTATGGATCCACAATTCTCCTAGGACTCCAAGGCATGTGTCTGGGAAACTCCAGCACTTTTGTACTAGGATTCAAGCGCACGAATGTTTCTAGCACTGTTGATTGCCCTAAAGTGGGACAAAATGCACATCAACAGAATGGATACACTGCTTTATCCACACAGTGGAATACAAATAATGAAATTTACCTATAGATAAGCCCAAATATTTTAATATTAATTGAAAGCCACAGAACAACACACTTTGATTCTTCGCATAAAAGCTCAAAATCAGGCAAAGGAAAACTATACTACATGCATATGCAGGTGGCAAAGCTATAAAAGTACCCATCACAAAAACCAGGCTAAGGAGGGTTTCGCTCAGAAAGGAACACAGGGAATGAGCAGGGCAACTCCAGGGGAGCTGGCAAAGCTCTTTTTGTTATCTGGGTGTTTTATTAATTATTCCCTAAACATGTATGTCCTATGAACTTTTCTGCATATGCTGGCTCTAGCGCTTAAAAAACGTATTGGAAACCCTGCACAGATTCGTGTCTCTATAAAGGTGAGAGCTGGTCAATAATGCATCTCAATGGAGACAACACTGGCAGAACCAGGCCAGACCTGCCGAGGTTCTTACGCATCGGTGAACTGGCGCCCACCCGCTCCGGCCTCGAGTAAACGTTTCTGGGAGTCGAAGCTCCGAGCGAACCAGGGAGGAACGACGGATTCTTCGGCGGGGCCAAAGCCCACCCAGAGTCTCCGAGTCGCCCACCACCTGGGCCCCTCCACCGTCGCCCGGCGGTTCCAGACCGGCAAGGGGCGATGCCTGGCTTAGCCCGGATTCCTGGAGAAAGGCAGAGCGTGGGGTCCAGACAGCGACCGCTGCCCGCAGAGCCCACAGCCCCGGTGTCCCCGGCATCCCGCCCACGCGGGGCCCAGCCGTCCAGGCCTGCCGCGGACCCGGGTTCGGGGGCGTGTCCGGCCATGCGCTGGCGGCTGGGTAGGGGAGCGCGTACCTCTCCACCGCAGAGGAACTACCTCGCCAGTTCCCGGTGATAGAACAGAGATTGTTTCCGGGGACCGCCCTGACACCCCTCCTGGGCAACTACTAGCTGTCTCTTTTTTAATTTGGAGTGCCGGCGCCGGCGCACGCGCACTGCGGAGCTTCCGTGAGAGCGCGCGGCCAGGCGAGGAAGGCCCGTCGCCGCCGTGCCGGGCGCGCGCGCGTGGTGACACGCAGCGGGCCGGCGTCGGAGGCGCGCGCGAGTGTGCGCAGTGGCACGGCCGCAGCTTGCTCCGGGTTCCGCTCGCGCAAAAGGGCGTGGGCGGCCGGGGAGGGCGCGAGGCGGCGGGCGGGGCCCGGGCGCGCGGTCCCGAGCGCGAGGAGAAGGTGGGGGTACGGGGTGACGGTGCGGGAGCTACTGTACAGCGCCGGGGCCAGAGGCGACGGCGGCGCAGGGGAGAAGCTGGGCCAGAGTCTGGTCGGCTGCCGGAACTGCGGACTCGATCCAGGCAGAGCGCGCCGTTTCTGGCTGAACGAAGAGGCGCTGCCGATCCGCCCGCGAGAGGAAGATGTTCAACGTGGAGTCGGTGGAGCGGGTGGAGCTGTGCGAAAGCCTGCTCACTTGGGTACGTGGTGGCCGGCTGGTTAGTGGGAAGGCCCCCTCTCAGGTCGCCTTTCTGGGACACCCCCCACCCTCGTCCTGGAGCGAGCTCCCAGGGCGACGGTGCCGTCACATCCGGGGCCTGGCGTGGGCCGCGGACGCCGAAGTGGCCGGGATGGGGCGGGCTGGGCCCAGGGTCCGAGAGGAGCTGGCCTGGCTTGAGGCATGGGCGGTTCGGGTTGTCCGAGTGGAACCCTGTCCTGTGGAGGCTAATGATGGGGTGCAGGCTTCACTATAATTAGGGCTGTTGTGTGCAGCCCAACAGGCGCGGGCGCTTCGCTCGGGGGCTTCCAGCGACACCACAGCGCCACTCGTGCCTGCGCCCGGGGAGGCGCCGGGAACCCTGGCTGCGGCGCCCCTGGCCTTTGTTGTAACGATCGCCGACCGTCCGACGGTGGAGCCGTCGCAGGGGGGAGAAGTACTTGGAAGGCTGAGTAGGCAGAATACCAGTGGCAACCAGGGACAGGGGATTTTAAAATATGAGATGCATTTTGGCTATTAGAAAGTAAGTGATGTGGAGGTTCTTGTAAAAGGTAGCAAAGGTAAAAACGTAAACTGGAAGGTATCTGGGGAGTCAGTAATGGAACTCAAAGACAGTGTGGGGCAACATTGTGGGATTCTAATTTGAAATTATACAGTTATTAAGGTTCTCGAATTTTAAAACAAATGTGTTGGCTTCTAATATCAAGCCTTTAGCAGCCACTTCAAGAGCTGGGCAATAAACCCATGCGTGTATGTTTTTCGTGCTCTGGTTGGAGGTGGGTACAGAAGTACGCAGTGCCCTGGTATAAACCAGGTGCCTCAGAGTGTTCTTTTACCTATTGCTAAAAATGTTAAATGTCCTTTCTAGAAGAACACGGATATATTTATAGAGGCGACTGTATTTTATTTGCGTATTTTTGGAAGATGCTAGCGATTGAACTCAGGTCCTCCTCCATGCTAAGCAAGGGCTCTACCGTTGCCACACTCTCAGCCCCCTTTTTATTAATTTTAGAGGTATAATTCAAATGTCAAAGGAATTCTATTTATTGGTGCCCAGGTTACAGGTTTAGATCCCTGTCCGATCACTATCTTCTGTGCAGGGCACTTTGCTGTAAAGATTTGAGGAACATCACCTTAGGTTGGTTGTAACAAATGTAATAAAAAATAGTCAGGTTTTTATAATTTGGCTGCATCATGACTCAAATTATGTCCTCTGAAACATAGAATATATACAGTGGTAGTAGAACTTGATCTATTTGGTTTTATAATAGACTATTCTTGGGATATCAGATTGTTCAAAATAATACTTAGCTAACATGCAACTCTAATAGATTGTAACTTCAGGCAAGGAAATGGGCTTTTACTTCTGTGTTTTAGAAGAGAAGATACTGATAAGTTGCATAATGCGTCCAAGATTTGACCAAGCAGGGAGAGATAAAGGGAAGAATTTCTACTTTCTTTGATCCTGTGGAAGGAATAGATTTAACTGAGGTTAGTAATAGAAGGCTGAGGATCTTCAGAGTTTCTTGCTTGGGTTTGTACCTTGCTTCCTTCCTGAAAGCTAGAGAAGTAAACAACAATGCAAAGATTAATTGAATCTAAAGTGGTGGTATATTGTTTAAAGTCTGAAAAGAAAAGACATGGAAATAGAGAAGTATTTATTAAGAGTATCTTCAAAAAAGATGATAGTGCAGCTATTTGAGTGATAAAAAGTATAGAGGAAAAACCATGAAGGACTTCTAATAGAAACAATTTTGAGAGAATCTATTTAGAATCAATTGCAGTGTCAGGAAAACAGGTAATCCATGTTATCAGCTGCAGAGGTCAAGGAATATGATATAATAGACTTTTAGAAATGTCAGGAAGCCTCATCAAGGAAAATTTCTGGAGATAAGATTAGAGATTATTGATACCAGACGTCCACACAAAGATGGACAATGGTTTTTTTGGGCAGTACTGGGGGTTGAACTTAGAGCCTTGGGCTTGCTAGGCACACACTGTAACTGCTTGAGCCACACCTCCAGTCCTAGATGTACAATTTTAAAGATTTGAAAATATTTTAAGACATTGTTCATCAAAATGTTTCAAAATATGAGTTGAATTTGAATGCTGGATTAGTTCTCTTTTGGTTGTCATTATTTAAAAACAATCTTTATATGAACAATATGTGAAGTAGCTCATGATGTGCAGGTTATCTCATAGCAGACCATCTGGAGGCCAGACAATGCTGATTACAGTTCCAAAGCTAAATATAAGGGAAGATTTACAGTCCTCTCTCATGAAAAGACTCTCACTTAGAATAATTTACACTAATTTAGTAAACTTACAGTCAACTTGAGTAGTGGTTTTTTAGCACATGAGAAGCTAGATGGTGTTGCAACACTCAGCAAAATATAGGCAGCTGTCGGTGACAGTGAAGACCCAAGAACTGAAAGTTCAATCTGATGATTCAATCTTTGGGCTGACAGCCTTGTATATAACTCTGGAGCCTCCTTGTTTAGTTGTGAGTAGGAAATAAAAATTTGTTTTCCTTACATAGCATTTAATTTGAGACTGGAGAAACATATATAGCACATTGAGAAGTTCTCTGCCTAGAAACATTTAAGATAATAAAAACTCGGGCACATAAAGAGATGACTCTTAGTCACCTAAGCAGAATTCATTCTGTGGAACTGGATCTCCTTGCCCCAAATGCTGGATAAATTGCTGTTGTATCAAAGGGCCTACTAGCCCAAGAAGCACTCTTCAAATTTTTGTTGAAAGATGCATATTTACTATAGTATGAAATATCCTACTAATGGAAAATATTTTAAGCTTAAATTCCAAATCAGTTTTTGTAGCAAGCAGGTTCAGCAGGATGTGCTTAAAAATTTTCACCCTATCTCCTCTCCCACCCTCTGAGTCAAAAGGTATTCCTACCTGTTAGAAAATAAAAAATAAATAAATCTGCCCTGTCAAGCCAGTTTCTTGAACTGCGTGTGAAACTATTGCACTGTCCCAGATTTTAATTAGTTCACTAATTTTGGAGTGCTGAGGATTGAACCCAGGCTCTTGCTCATGCTAAGTGTGCACTCTACCACTGAGCTACATCTACAACCCTTTCCTGGGTTTTAGAAACTGAAAAACAAGAATCTGGAATGCTCCTACCAGTAATAACATGAAGCTAAGTAGGAAAAGAATCATACAGCCTTAGTGCACTTATGGAAAACCCAGCAACCCTAATGTACCGTTATTTTTGTATTACTTATTTGGGAATGTATAAAATGCCCACTATAGGATTAGGAAGGTTATAGTTCTTAGGGTGGTATCTCCCACATTCCATTCTCTCTGCTATGTGTGACTTTATCCTAACCAACAATGTGCTGAAATTTGATCCTCTAATGGAAGAATGAAGAAATCTCTGCTATACAGAGGTTTAAAGTTCTTCAAAAGCACTTAGGACAAAATAGCATGGTAGTTCAGAGTACAGCTTCCAGCCTCAGTCTGCCTTTCATTACACTTTTGTGCTTAGATTGCCCTCATATTTAACATTAAGGCTACTGACTTAGAGTTGTTCTCATACATTACCATGGACTAGCATTACCCGAAGGTTTGGTAAAACTGTGATTGCTGGGCCTAGGCTCAGAGTTTCTAATTCTGGTCTGGGATAAGGCCTGAGATTTTGCATTTCTAACAAGCTCTCAAGTCATGTGTCATGGGTAACATGGGACACACATTTTAAGAACCATTCCTCTAGAGCAGCGTTTTTTTTTTTTTTTTTTTTTTTTAACCTTACTGCCATTAGACATTTTTGTTGTGGGCACCCTGTACATTGTAGGACATTTAATAGTAGTGTTGCTTACTTCTGCCCACTAGATGTTGATAGCACCTGCCTACGTGTAACAGCCAAAAATGTCTCCAAGGGAGCAAAATCACCCCGGGTTGAGCACCACGATCTCATGTTCTACTACTACTCTCATACTTTTGTGGAGGACGGGAGGAAGAGGTTGGGTGGTGTTCATAGAGCTTCTTGGAATTGAAAGAAAGGTTGTGACCTTTCAGGTAGAATTTCATGCCTGAATGCAGTTAAGTGTAATGAAATGTCCATGGATATTAGCTCAGAGAACTGGTGGGTGATAGATTTTTTAAAAAAATTATTTGATCTTGTTAAAAATAGATTTCTAGCTACACACCCAGAGATTTTGATTCAGCAACTGGAGCTAAGAAATGTGTTATTTTCAAATTGAAAACTTGCCAGATGATTCTCATGTTTTACACCCCGGTTTGGGAACTTTAGACTTTTCAGAATACCTAATGTGCACCTGTTTTCTCATTCATTCCCTAAAGAACGCACCCCTCCCTCCATAAGCTATTTTCCCCAAGTTTTACGTTGAAAAACTGGTATTTGCGAGAGATGAAATAAAAATATCCAAGATTACACCCCAAGTTAGAAATAAAGCTAGGGATTAGAATTACTTCATTATATTCAAAGCAATATTTACTGGGGGTTTATTCTGTAAGCCCCTCATTCTGGGGTATTGTACCACAGTTAGTGGTAAAGGCATGAGATACAGCGTTCTTTTTTTTTTCATGAAAAAAATAACTTATTTTGTACAAAATAGCTACCAGTGACCTAAGGACAGGTGCTGTCATGTCCCCAAGAAGGGATCCTGCACTCAGAGGAACAGGAGGGAGCCCAGCAGAAGCTTGCCCTGGCCCAGCAGGCGGCCCTGCTCCAGGCTGTGGCTCTTGAGCTTGGCCTTGTTGCACAGGGACAGTGCACCTGCTTCTCGCTGAGACCATCAAAGCAGAAATCCAAGGTGGTCTTGTGGCTGCGCCAATCCCAGTGCCGCACTTGGGGCCACAGGACCAGGCTGAGGGGGCAGCCCATGGTGCATGGCTCCAGGGCGCCTCCTGCAGGGCTCTCAGTGCCAAGGAGTGCAGTTTCCCCAGCAGCTGCATCCTCAGCTGCATTAGTGGGAGCTGGGCCCCGAGTGGCAGTAT